TTCTCCTCTCAGGGTTTTAGTCAGCATGCATACGTGCCCTGTGTGAGTTTTTATTATTATTATTTATTTTAATTTTATTTATTCACTCATTTATTTTAATTTGACCAGAGAGAAAACACAGAGAGAGAGAGAGAGAGAGGGAAAGGGAGAAAGGAAGCCGCCAGATCCGGGACTCGAACTGCGGTCAGCCACGTGGGAGTGTCCAGCACCTTAACCACCATGCCACAGAGTTTTAAGCCACCTGGTCAGGGACTCTGTGGGAGTCTAGAGAAGTAATCATTATGCCATCTACTGGTCACAGAATCTTTTTAAAGGTACAAAAATATTATTTTACTGTAGTCTCTTGATAGCATTGAGCTTGGCTAATTTAATACATAAGATAGAAATCATCATCCATGCTAAAAAATATGTTTTAATCCATTTTAAAATTATTATTATTAGTTTACTTATTTTATTCATAAGATGTAGTGCCACATGAGAAAGAGAGAAATATTCTACATGATGTCTAGTGATTACTTGATCCCCTCCTCCCAGCCTTCCATATCCTGGGGATGCTAGCACATAGCCTGTACGTTTCTTGGGTTTCCACTCATGCAGTGAGCTATGTGTAATAAAGCACAATACTGAAGGCACCATTGAAGCTAGACCCATTTAAAAATTATTGATCTGGGATCAGCAGGTAGTGTAATGGTTACATCGCTGGATTCCCAAGTAATCGACGATGGTTCAAGTGCCAGACCTGGTGACTTAAAACTCATGCCAGGTGCATGTGTATCATGCCCAAAATCCTGAGATGAGAATGGAGAGCTGTGTGGCCATCCCTCCCAGGGGGTGATTTCTAACTTTTTCTCTCTCTGTCTTTCTCTGTCTCTCTGGTAAGCACATCCCCCCATAGCAAACATCTCTCTTAAAAAAATATTGATCTGGGAACAGTAGTTAGAGTAATCACTATGTCTCTGGACTCCCATGTAGTTGACCACGGTTCAAGTCCCAGATCCGGTGGCTTAAACTCATGCCAGGTGTGTGTGCGTGCGTGCCCAGTATCCTGAGAGGAGAATGGAGGAGAAGGGATCACAGCATGGCCATTCCCGCGGGAAGTCATTTCTCACTTTCTGCCACTCTGTCTCTCTCTGTCTTTCTGGAGAGTACATGCTCTCAAAAAAAAAAAAAAAAATTGATCTAAGAATTAAGTTTAAAATCTGATGTTGTTTTTACTAAAATCTTGCAAGATATATTAATAGAAAAATCAAGACCTTTCAGTACCATTAGCCAAAGAAACTATACATAACTCTTAAGAAAAACAGAAGCCTCATGGATAAGTTAACATGGCTATTTCCCTTGTAAACCAAAAAAGTTTACAGTCAATTCAGAAGCATGTTTTGTTCTTTAGTTCCATACTGAATTATCTGAACTTTGGATGATTGATTACTTCTAATATTACATCATCATTAAAAGTATAACATATTTTTGTTTAATTGGATTTTTCTTGGTTGATATGTATTTACTACTGTTTATATACTAAACACTATATAACTCCTCCTTCCATTTTTAGTATTTAATTTGGACCAAATCAACCAGATATGTTCTGTGGTTCCATCTTGCATCAGAGGAGATCTCATGAGTGCCCAGAGGTGAAAGTGTCCTGCACTTACTTAGTCAGGTCTCGTTATTAGTAATTCAAATATGTCTCACCCATGGATCTCCAGAGTAATATGAAAGAAAGGGTAGAGAAAAGTCACCATGGTGATCCCCTTGAAAATATCTCCACATGGAAAGATGCATAGAAAAGAATAAGATCTCTTCCTAACAATACTTTCTTCATTGTTATTGAACAAACTGCAAATATTTTTTTATTAGTTCTTCTTCTTTCCAGTGTGTTGTCCCTCATCTTTCTTATTCTTTGGCAAACCTTTGGAGTTATGCAAATTCTGTTAATTTTCAGTTGTTCAAACATTAAAAAATAAATACCCATCAAATCAGTCTATGGCTTAGGCATAAGAATACTCTCATTTATGGCCATGACTCTGAATGCAGGGGTAACCCTGGCTTTCCAAATAAGTGTATAGGATAGTCCTCTGAGTACATCTGAGGAAGAATAAGCTGGTCAACTTGTGACCTTCTGTATTGCCAATGGAAAAAAAGGTATTAATCTCAGGTAAATATATACTAAGATTCTGTGCTGAGCTGCTTTTTCATTTATTCTCTTTTTAATTTAATTTTGAAATGACACATAATAATTGTACACATTTATGGTGTAGAGTGTGATATTTCAATACATGTATATAATGCTTTTTCTTTATACTTTTTTCTCTGAAGTTAAAAACAATTTGTTCTTCTTTCTATTTTGCATATGTTAGCATTTGGTAGTAAAATTCTACTTCTTTACTTAAAACTATCTCTTCTGGCTTTCTACTGTGTATAAATGCCACAAAAATTTATTTGCACCAGTTGGTGGCCAGATGGTTAATGCTGCAGAATCCCACATGGCTTACTTCATAGTTCAAATCTCTGATCAGCAGCATGAATAACATGTCAGGCACATGTGTGTGTATGCTGGACATATCAAGAGAGGAATGGAAGAGAAGGGATTGCAGCATGGCCACTCTCCCTGAGGGTGATTTCTCACTTTCCCTCTCTCCCTCTGTCTCCAGTGAGCACATGTGCACTATAGCAAATTAAAAAGAAAAGGGGCCAACAGATGGCGTAATGGTTACATCACTGGACTCCCACATGGTCAACCATGGTTTGAGTCCCGGACTCGGCAGCTTAAACTCATGCAGGGTGTGTGGGCATGCATGAACAAAATCACAAAAGGAGAAGGGGGAAGAAAGGATTGTAGTGTGGCTGTCTCCCCTAAGGGGTGATTTCTCACTTTCTTTCTCTGTCTTTCTGTGTCTCTCCAATAAGAACACGTACCTTATAGCAAAAATCTCTCTAAAAAGAGAAAGAAAAAAATTTTTGATGTGCATTCTTCTGGCAATTTTACAGATAATCCTTTAAGTAAAATACTTTGAAGATTTTTGTGTTTTTGAGGAGTATTTATAAGGACAGTTTTAAAATTCAGTCTACATGGGGACCAACAGTTAGCATAATGGCTAAGTTGCTGGACTCCCACATAGTCGACCACAGTTTGCATCCCGGACCTGGTGGCATAAAACACACCAGGCGTGTGTGCATGCGTGCCCAAGATCCCTAGAGGAGAATGGAGGAGAAGGGATTGCGGCATGACCATCCCCCCTGGGGGGTGATTTCTCGCTTTCTCTCTCTATGTCGCTCTCTGTCTGTCTGGTGAGTGCACGTGCCCTATAGCAAAAATCTCTCCAAAAGAAAAAAAAAATTCAGTCTATGTGGATTCAAACCAATATAAATTGCTTCTAGATGTCTGAGCATAAACTCATTTCTTACTGTTCAGAGCTTTGCTTTCTTCATCAGAAATATGTACAAATAGTACATATTTTGTGAGACTTGCTAGACATACAAGAAGATATCAAAATATATGTAAAAATGTAGTGGTGACTTCTAATGAGAATTTAACAATTGCTATTTTCTGTTATCATTATTAATCAATTACCAAACATTTTTAAAACCAATTTTGAGTTTTCTTCTTTTCATAACTCTAAACTTTAGGTTTATTTATTTATTTATTTATTTTGGGGGAGAGGTTTTTGCTATAGGGTGCGTGCGCTCGCCAGACAGACAGAGAGAGACATAGAGACAGAAAGCGAGAAATTACGCCCCGGGGGGATGGTCACGCCGCAATCCCTTCTCCTCCATTCTCCTCTCAGGATCTTGGGCACGCACGCACACGCGCCCGGCATGAGTTTTAAGCTACCAGTTCGGGGACGCGAACCGTGGTCGACTACGTGGGAGTCCAGTGACATAGCCATTAAGCTAACTGCTGGTTCCCGAAACTTTAGGTTTATTTTTTAAAATAATTATTTATTTAATTTAATTTATTTTCTGTTTTTTAATTTGACCAGAGAGAGAGAGAGAAAGTGAGAAAGAGAGCCACCAGGTCTAGAACTATAACCATGGTCGACCATGTGGGAATCCAGTGCCTTAACTGTCACATCACCTGCCAACCCCTTAAATTTCTTTTTTTAAATGCTAACATTACAAGATGCTTCTCTAAACTAGTAGTATAGTAAAGAGTTGCATTATAAATACCCATACGGTTGGTCAAACACATCAATATATTTTCAAATAATTCTCCATTATTTTCAAAGCTACTTCAAATCTCTTTTTCTAATAATTATACTAAGTAATTCTGCAAAGTACACAATGCGATTTTCCAGAAGCTATATAGAAATGAAGATGGCTCATCACTGATGTGAAACCAACATCTTGGCTGCTCTGGAAAATTCTTGGTTATGCCTATTATCACAGTGTCATCATCATCATCATTAGTAGTAAGCTTGTTTATTTCCATGAAGCAAGAAAAAGGGACCACCTTACAAGGTCTTCAGTTCTCCTCCCAGTTCTAGCCAACCAGGATCACTGGTGTTGCAGGTATGCCAATGTGTTCAGGTAGGCCCAATAACACAAACCTGGAATTTCACCATTTGGCCTCTGGCATCACATAGCAGCTCCCCCACTGCCTGCAGCACTGGGGCTGGGCCATAGTGTGTTACTGGTAGTGCCCTCTTTCACTCCAAATTCTCCAGGTTAGATGTTATATCATATGTTCACACTACTTAAAATGAATTTGAAATTACTTTGCTAATTTATTCTTGAACAGCATAATTTTCCTCCTTCTTCATAAAATAATTTAAATTACACAAAAACTAGGGCAGTATCTAATTCATCACTATATCCTTAGGTTTTGAAAGAATGTTAGCACAGATACTCAAACTGACTTTGTAAAACACGGCTCAGGTCTTTAAAAATGTGTTAGCATCGCTTAAATTAGATATTTGATTTCTATTGCTTATCAATGATTAATGTTATTAATTTTGTTATTTCAGGTAGCTGCCCAGAGCCATCTCTAATTGCAGCAGATCATGGAAAAAAGTAATAATGTTACTGAATTTATTCTCTTGGGTCTTTCCCAGAATAAGAAAGTCCAAATCCTCTGCTTTTTATTTTTTTTACTCTGTTATCTAACTATTTGGTTGGGAAACCTGATTATCATGATTTCTATCACATGGAGTCAACTAATCAGTCAGCCCATGTATTTCTTTCTCAGTTATCTTGCCGTCTCCGACCTTTTCTACACCTCCACTGTGACACCCAAACTGATGACTGACTTAATTACAGATAGAAAGGTCATTTCCTACAACAACTGCATGACACAGCTTTTTATCACACACTTCTTTGGGGGTGTTGAAGTCTTCATCCTCACAGGAATGGCCTATGACCGCTATGTCGCCATCTGCAAACCACTCCACTATGCCATCATCATGAATAGGCAGAGGTGTAACTCAATTCTCATGGCATCTTGTGCAGGGGGATTTTTGCATTCCCTTGGCCTGTTTCTTCTTACAATTTTTTTACCTTTCTGTGGTCCCAATGAAATAGATCACTTTTTCTGTGATGTATATCCTTTACTGAAACTGGCCTGTACTGATACACACAAGATCGGTTTCTTAGTCATTGCCAATTCTGGCCTGATGGGATTGGTGATCTTCCTCGTTTTGATGACTTCCTACTTTATGATATTATATCATGTGAGAGCATATTCTGTAGAAAGTCGCCATAAAGCACTTTCTACATGCAGTTCCCACATCACAGTAGTGGTCTTGTTTTTTGCACCTGTCATCTTTATTTACATAAGACCTGCCACAACCTTACCAGAAGATAAAGTGTTTACACTCTTTTATACAGTCATTGTCCCCATGCTCAACCCCCTTATCTACACACTGAGAAACAAAGAAATGAAAAACGCCATAAAGAAAGTGTGGTGCAATCAAATGAATTTTGAGGGGATGTCAATGGTTTCAAGGTCATTTGTATTTTGATAGGAATGAATGTATTCGCTTCATAATCCCTTTCTATCTCTCCTTGTGAAAAAGAAATCAGTCTGAATGTGTGACAGTCAAGACTCGGATAATTGCTGCTCTAAGTGACGATTATCTTTTAATTTTCTAACTTGACATACTTCTCTTATTCATATGCTTCACTATATTTCAAGTTCCATGAAAGCAAGGGTCATGTCATGTTTATTCCACTGCTATTTTTGTAATAACACCATTTATAGCATACATTAGGAGCTTAATATGTATTTACTAAAAGAATAGATAAAATATTTAATGCATTGATAAAAGAAAAAAATTCATAAACGATTTTTTTTTTTTTTACATTCTTGTCTTATGGTGTGCGTACTCTTCAGAGAAAGACAGGAAGAGAGAGGAAAAGTGAAAAACCACTACCCAGGAAATATGGTCATGTAGCAATCTCTTCTCCACTCTCCTCTCAGGATTTTGTGCACACTTGCACGCACATGTCAGCATATTTTTTAAGCTGCCAGGTCTGGGACTTGAACTGCGGAGGTAACCATGTAGGATACAGCTGCCTCAACAATCACGCCACTTGGTGATCTCTATAAACAGAATAATTTGATTACAGTGAATATCTTCCATCAAGAAATGGGAATAATTCATCCTTACAGAAATAGATACTTAATTCTGGATACAGATTTCCTTTCTTTCAACAATGCTTATACCAGCAGTATAATTCATGAATGTATGCAATGCCTTATTCACCAATGTGACAACTCACATAGCATTGATGATGAATAAGTAACTTATTTCATATTAACAAATGATGGCAGTGGGAATGTGTGAAAAGTTCTCTGATCCCATCATGTACTCTAAATTGTGTTCCCCCAAAATTCATTTGTTGAAGCCCCAACTAACCAATACTTTGAATGAGACTATTATTGGAATTACGGCCTTTAAAGAAAAAATAATGAGTTAAAAATGAGACTGATAGTATTGACTCTAATCCAATCTGACTGGTATCCTTATAAGAAGAAAACATTTGGGCACACGAAAGGGACACCAGGGAATCATACATAAAGATAATGCCATGTGGTGATACTATGAGAAAGTGGCCATCATCAAGGCACATTGAGAGGCCTCTGCAGAAGCTAAATCTCAGACCTGTTGATATTGGACTTCCAGACTCCAGAACTAACAAGAAAATTTCTGTTGTTTAAGCCACCCAGTTGATGGCATTTTGTTATAACAGCTTCAGCAATTAAACCCATAATCTATTACTCTGATGTGAAATAAATAAAACAACAAATTAGCTTAAACAATATTCCAAGTGGTAATTCAGAGATAACATGCAGAAAAGCTGGAGTTATAATTTAAGAATATATTTATCAATAGTGATATAATTTCTCCGTTAGTCAAAATAAAATTATAAAGATGAAAGGATATGAAAGTACATACATGTAGATACTTCCCTTAATTGTTAACACTGAAACCTATTTATAGAATTTTTGATTGCTGACTCAGTAATTATCAGTTCGAGGTAATTTGAGTAAGCAGACTGCAAAAAAAATTCCATGGAAATAATATAATTAAAGCATGAGTTTATTTGGTGACAGCAAGTGACATTGTAGTTAAAGCTCTGGATCCTACATGGTCAACTTTGCAGTTTAAGACCTGGACCCAATGGCATGAAAAACACATTGGGCATATGTACACACATGCTCAAAATCCCAAGAGGAGGGAACCAGCAGTTAGCGTAATGGCTATGTCGCTGGACTCCCACGTAGTTGACTGTGGTTCGCGTCCCAGACCCGGTGACTTAAAACTCACGCCGGGTGCGTGTGTGTGCATGTCCAAGATCCCGAGAGGAGAACGGAGGAGAAGGGATTGCAGCAAGGCCATCCCCCCTGGGGGTGATTTCTCGCTTTCTGTCTTTCTGTTTTTCTCAGTCTGTCGGGCAAGGGCCCGCACCCTATAGCATAAAATCCCTCAAAAAAAAAAAAAATCCCAGGAGGAGAAGGGATTGTGGTATAGCCACCCCCCAGGGAGTGATTTCTCATTTTCCATCTCTCTCTGTTTTTCTCTGGCAAGTGAACATGACCTATGGCAAATAAATAAAGAAAAAAATAAATAAAAACAATTTAGATGTGGCGTTTTTTTGATGAAAATTATTCCTACGTGTTAGTCACAAAGAGGTTATGTTTTCAACAAGTAACTCAACAATTATTTTATTAAATTGTAAGTTGAAATGATTACCTAGATACTTTGGGTTCTTTGTATCTTTACTAATCCAAAATACAAAAAAAGGAGCTAGAGTGATCGGTATTGGGAATAGGGAGAATTTGGTTGTGATATGAGGGAAGCACTGATAAATATCTAGAACCCAGAAGATTCTCCAAGATAGCTATTAATTATGATCTTCAAAAATAAGAGTAAAAGTTTATTTAAGAATAGGGAAAAAATGATAAAATTGATTTTTTTGTATGGAGAACCCTTCCCATATGATCTCTGATAGCTACACTTGTTTTTTCTACTATTAAGTATTTGAATCTTTCAATTTCTACCATAGAGTGCCATTTGGTATATATTGAGGGGGGATATACAGAGTTCGCATTTCATAGTCTGGCTTATTTTGCTTAGCATTACATCTTCTATATTCACTCACTTTGTATTGAATGGCAGAGACTCACTGTTCTTTTTTTTTTTTGGAGAGGTTTGTTCGCTATAGGGCATGTGAGCTCGCCAGACAGACAGAGACATAGAGACAGAAAGCGAGAAATCATCCCCCAGGGGGGATGGTCACGCCGCAATCCCTTCTCCTCCATTCTCCTCTTGGGATCTTGGGCACACACGCACATGCACCCGGCATGAGTTTTAAGCCACCGGGTCCGGGACTCAAACCGCGGTCGACTACGTGGGAGTCCAGCGACATAGCCATTACGTTAACTGCTGGTTCCCAGACTCACTGTTATTTATAGTGAATAGTATCCTATTCTGTGTATGTGCCACATTTTTAAAATCTAGTCATCAATTTGGGAGCGCTTAGGTTAATTCCATGTTTTAGTAATTGTAAATAATACGTAATAAACATGGATGTAGGAGGGACCAGCAGTTAGCGTAATGGCTATGTCGCTGAACTCCCACATAGTCGACCGCGGTTTGTGTCCCGGACCTGCCGGCTTAAACTCGCGCCAGGTGCATGTGCGTGCGTGGCCAAGATCCCAAGAGGAGAATGGAGGAGAGGGGATTGTGGCGTGGCCATCCCCTCTGGGGGGGTGATTTCTTGCTTTCTATCTCTCTATCTCTCTCTGTCTGTCTGGCGAGCGCACACACCCTATAGCGAAAACCTCTCAAAAAAAAAAAAAAAAAAACATGGATGTAGGAGTGTTTTTCTGACTGATTATTTTTCTATCTTTTGGGTAAATACCAAAGAGTGGGATTAATGGGTCATAAGGTAGTTTTCTTTAATTAAAACATTATGGTACTTGCACCAAACAGACACATAGACCAATGGAACAGAATAGAGAACCCAGAAATAAATCCCCAGACGTACAGTCAAGTGATTTTTAACAGGCACAATACTATCCAGTAGAGAAAAGAATCTCTTTCAGCAAATAGTGCTAGAAGAACTGGATATCCACTTGCACAAAAATAAACCTAAACCTCTGTCTCCCACTATTTACAAAAATCAACTCACGATGGATAAAACACCTAAATGTAAAGTCTCTAACTATAACATTGCTTGTGTAAAAAGCAGGAGAAACACTTGAAGACATTGGAGTAGGCACAGATTCTTAAAAAAAACCCATAAAGTGCAAGCGACAATCCCCAAAATAGACACACAGGATTACATGAAGCTAAAAAGATTCTGCACAGAAAAAGAAAAAAAAAATAAAGTAAAGATAAAACTCATAGAATGGGAGAAAATATTTGGAAACTACTTCAGATAAGTAATTAATAATGAGCATATATAGGGAACTCAATCATTTCAGCCATTCTAAAACAAATAATCTAATTTAAAAATAGACAAACTGAACAGACAACACTCAAAGGAAGACATGGTCAGCCCATGTGGGTGTCGCCTTGGATATCTCTTTTTTCTTTTTAAGAGAAGGATTTTTGCTTTATGGTACATGTGCTCCTTGGAGAGATGGAGAGACAGAGAGACAGTGACAGTGAAAGGGAACAGGAGATCAACACCCCCCCCCCGGGGGGATGTCCATGCTGCAGTCCATTCCCTTCCATTCACCTCCTGGGAACTTAGGCAATAAATACATACTACGCAGCATGAGTTTCAAGCTGCTGGCTCTGGGACTCAAACCACAGTCAACTACATTGCAGTAAAGTGACATAACTGTTAGGCCATCTGCTGGTCCCATCTCTCATTACTATTTTTTTTTTCTGTTTAGTTTTTTTGGAGAGGTTTTTGCTATAGGGCATATGTGCTCACCAGAAAGATGGAAAGAGACAGAGAGACAGAAAGTGACAAATCACCCCACAGGGGAGATGGCCATGCTGCAATCTCTTCTCCTCCATTCTCGTCTTAGGATCTTGGGCACCCAGGCACACGTGCCTGGCATGAATTTATGCCACTTGAACCATGGTTGACTACATGGGAGTCCAGCGACATAGCCATTATGCTAACTGCTGGTCCTTCGTCTCTCACTTTTTAAGCCAATTACCAGGGCCAACAGATGGCATAGCAGTTATGTTGCTGGACTCCCACATGACCGACTACAATTCTAATCCCAGACCTAGTGGCTTAATATTTACACTGGGCACATGTGTATGCTGGCAAAAGTTCCTAGGAGAACAATGGAAAAAAAGGGATTGCAGTGTGGCCATCTCACCTGTTGGCGGGGTGTGATTACTCACATTTCCTCTCACTGTCTCTGTCTCTCCAGCGAGCACATGTGCTTTACAGCAAAAATCTTTCTGAAAAATAAAAGAAGTGAGAGATAATGTTAAAGATGACACCCACATGGGCAGACCATTCACATCAATTTCCAGGGAAAAAATTCATTTTGTTAGTGCCCCAATTGAAGAAGAACAATGATAAAGAGCAGAAACAATAGCCAACACCATAAACATCTCAATTGGTTCAGCTTTTACACAATTGAGACTGAATAAAAGTTGAGAAAATTTTCTGCTTGATGAGTGCCAAAATTGCTGTGCCTAAACAGGTGTAGACATGAACAGGAATTTCAATGGAGATTTTAAACAAGCAGGCTAAGATCCTGAAGCATTAATTTCTGAAGAATTGTAAGAGGAGATGACACATGGTTTTACCAGTAAGATCCTAAAGACACTATGAAACCAATGACTATCAAGAAGTCAAAGTGGCCCAGTCAAAGCAAAAGCAGACTAGATAGGTCTGGTAACAGTGTTTTGAGTATTTAAGGAAGTTTGTTTCCTGACTTTCTGGAAGGTCAAGGAACTATAATACTTGCTTCTTTTCAAGAGTGTTATCAGAAAAATACTCCCAGTAGCTTTGTGAAAGAGTCCTTCTCCACCACAAGATTGTTCCTATTATTCCTTTTATTTAAAAATGGCTATTTTGTGAGAGCTTTGATGGGAAATCATTAAGCATCCACCTTATAGTCCTGATTTGGCTCCTCCTGACTTTCCTTGCCCCTAATCTTAAAAACAAAGTATCTTGGGCCCCAGGTAGAATGGTGGCTATGGTGTCTGCATGTGATACCACATGGCTGACAGATCTTTTTGAATCTCAGAGCTGACATCTTGAAAAACAATCAGGGTGCAAGCTCATGTGTACCTGAAATCCTGAAAGGAGAAATGGAAGAGAAGAGAGTGGAGTGTGACAATCCCCAGTGGGGATGCTTTCTTACTTTTCTCCTTTCTCTCTCTAAAAAAAAACTGTCTAAAAGGCATCAGTTTTCTTCAGTTAACAATGTAAGAAGACATCATTGATATGGATGCATTTTTAGGACTCTCAGTTCATCAGGAATGAATGGTTATTATTATCACATAAAAAGTTTCTGAACCTGGGTGGAGCTTATGTGGAATATAAAAGTTAAGTTTTTTATTTTTTAATATTTGCTTTTTCTTTTGGTTTTTGTCATAGGATGCATCAGTTTTCTTCAGTTAACAATGTAAGAAGACATCATTGATATGGATGCATTTTTAGGACTCTCAGTTCATCAGGAATGAATGGTTATTATTATCACATAAAAAGTTTCTGAACCTGGGTGGAGCTTATGTGGAATATAAAAGTTAAGTTTTTTATTTTTTAATATTTGCTTTTTCTTTTGGTTTTTGTCATAGGATGCATGTGCTCACCAGAGAGAACAGAGAGAAGTAGAGAAATCATCTCCTAAGAAGGATGATCATACTGCAATCCCTCCTCTTCTATTCTCTCAGGATCTTGGGCATGCTCACACACATGTGATTCTCAAGACACCAGGTCCAGGACTTGAACTTCAGTAGGCCATATGGAAATCCTACACCTTAACTATCATGTCACCTGTTGGCAATATTTTTATATTTTAATTCCATTGTTTTCATGAACTTTGTGAAGTCTCATCAAATTATTTAATACTTATGCTAATGTATAATTTAACATAAATTCTATCACACAGATAGAAACTTCTAGTTTAAATAACTAGCTCAAATTACTAGTGAGCAACAGAAACAAAAAAGAGAGAGATTTTTACATTTATTTTTGCCTCCAAACCCTGAATGATAAGTAGCCCTGAGTAAATAAATGGCTTTAGTGTACAGGAAATCAATACCCAGCATTTTACTAGTTGCTCACTTCAACACATTTCTCAGTGTTGATCAAACTTTACTAATAGAATCTTTTTTATCAAGCGACAAAAAGAGAGAGCTCCAATCTCCTTTTTCTACAATAAAGAATACTCCTCAGAAATATATAAAAGTCCTTTATTTATATCCTTGAATTTTGAATTCATCCCAGTCCTATAACTTGTTCTGCTGTAAATGTTTTAATGTTGAGTCAGTGCAATTTATGTGTTTATTTATTTATTACCATGGCCCATGTGGTCATTGGAGAAAGAGACGCCATAAACCCTTGTTCTTCATTCTCCCCTTGGGACTTAGGGTATGTTTGCACAAGTGCCTAGAGTGATTTTTCTTTTTTTCTTTATTTTATTTTATTTTATTTTATTTTATTTTATTTTATTTTATTTTATTTTATTTATTTCCTTTCTGTGTATATACATTCAATCACATTGTTTAGCTTACAATGTGAGCATTTCAATATGTGAACATTTCTCCCCAGTCCCGTTGATCAAAAAATATCTTCAACCGATAACACCACACTTCCCCATCCTGTCAATGTTCTAGGTCTGAGACTCAAACCTTGGTCAGGCATGTGGCTGCCAGCATCTCAACCACTAACGCTGGTCCTAATTTACATTTTTTTAAACTATGTTTTTGTATGGTATATTTTTATAAAGAGAGATTTTTGCTATAGGGAGTGTTTGCATGCCAGAAAGATAGAGAGAGACAGAGATACAGAAAACGGAAATCAACCCCAGGGGGCATGGCCATGCCACATTTCCTTCTCCTCCATTCTCCTCTTGGGATTTTGGGCATGCACCCACACATGCCTGGCAGTTTTATAGTACTCTAGAAGTACTATTCAACTTACATGCATTCAATTTTCTATCTGTTAATCAACTTCTCACTATAGCTCCATCTCTCATTTTGTTTCATGAACTTTTTTTTTTTTTTTTTGGAGAGATTTTTTTCTATAGGGCACGTGCACTCACCAGACAGACAGAGACAGAGAGACAGAAAGCAAGAATCATCCCCCCCAGGGGGGATGGCCACGCTGCAATCCCTCCTCCTTTCTCCTCTCAGGATCTTGGGCACACATGCCCACGCGCCCGGTGTGAGTTTAAGCCACCGGGTCCAGGACTCGAATCGTGGTCGACTACATGGGAGTCCAGCAACATAGCCATTACGCTAACTGCTGGTCCCTCATTTCATGAACATTTTGAAGTCTTCTCCTATGTATCATTGTTCAGTCTAGCACTAATTTCTATGGACTGTGTGATTTGCATGCATGTAACTTTACTCATGCCATCATAAAACTGAGCAAAATTAAGTTTCCGTCATGTTTTTTACAATAGCAATACTATTTTATTGCTAGTTCTTTAACATTGAAGTGCATTTTTCTTTCTCATAATGTACCAGTGTAATAATTAATATATTACATAATCTCCAACTCTCTAATTCCCCATCTACCTCTCTGATTCCAACTATAGCCTTTTTTCTTTCTCTTTTGAAAATTATGTCATAATTCAATGATCAATATAACATTATCTTATTTGCTTTTGCACAGATGATTCTTATGCAATTAACCCCCCATACCACCTTTATAATCTATAAAATTAACTAAATTTCCAAATATTTTTCAAATCCAAGAATTAGTATTTGATTATTTATTACTTTAAATTTTGAAATCCTCTTTTTCTCATTCATCCCACAGAAGATAGAAAAATCTACTAGTTAGTATCTAGTTCTTTTATTCATGTCTAGTTCTTATCTTTGTACAGTTATTTGGATAATTATCATCTTCAAATTCATTTTATATTTTCTTCAAAAACATACTTTGACACCAAATTTTTCTCATACTATTTTTCACCTCTGTATTTCTTAGTGTATAAATTAAGAGATTGAACATAGGAGCAATAATGGTATAACATAGAGCAACTACTTTATCCCCAGGGAAAGTGGTAGGAGGCCTGAGGTAGCCAAATATTGCAGGTCCGAAAAATAAGATGATCACTGTGATATGAGAACCACAGTTGGAGAGAGCTTTGCATCTTCCCTCTGCCGATGATTTCTTAAAGTGAGTAATATAATGACATAAAAACCAAATAAGACTACGAAGGTAACTGTGACAAGCACACCTGAATTGGCAACCACAAGGACACCCATAACTTAGGTATCAGTACAAGCAACCTTCAGCAAAGGGAAGATATAAAAAAATAAATAGTGATCAATTTCATTAGGACCACAGAAGGGTAACTAGATTGTCATAGATAACTGAGGAAGGGAATGAACAGCCCATCAGCCCAAGCAGTCAGGACTAAGAGGTTGCATCTTGTCCTGTTCGTTATGGTCATGTAGAGGAGAGGTTTACAGATAGCAACCTAGTGATCAAAAGCCATGATGGTAAGGATAAAGACCTCAATATGCTAAAGAAGGGCATGGTGAAGACCTGTAACATGCAATTATCACAAGAAATAGTTTTTGACCCTGCTAACAGGCCGCCAATCAGTTTGGGTACAACGCTAGAGGTAGAGCAAACATCTATAGAGGATAAATGACTCAGAAAAAAAGAACATTGGTTAATAAAAAAGAGGACTGGACAGAATGAAGATAAAAATCAGTAGATTTCTTACCGTCTGGATTACATGACAGAATAAGAGCACAAAGCAAAATATTTTTATGTTCTGGTCATCAGAAAGTCTCAGAAGAATAAATTCTGAGATATTTCTCTGGCTTCCCGTGTATATGAGTTGATATTTATTATGTACAAATGAGTTATCTGAAAAGAAGACAACATGAATTTGGATGAAAAATCAAAGATTCTGACCATGGTAATGTGAAATTTACTAAAATAAAATATACATATATAGAATATGAGTTACTGACTTATAGAATTAAGCTATTTTCCCTACTTATGGTCATTTTACAAATCTATTTTTGTACAATTTTGTAACAGGAAAAATAAGAATAACTGTTTTTCTTTAATTTTACCTGTAATGGCTAAAAATATTTAAATCTTACTTTAAAAATAAAACATTTTATTATTGTTAATTATATTATTATTATTATTATTGGAGAGGTTTTCCTATGGGGCACATGCACTCGCCAGAAAGACAGAGACAGAGAGACAGAAAGCGAGAAATCACCCGCCAGGGGGGATGGCCACGCCGCATTCCCTTCTCCTCCATTCTCCTTTTGGG